GTAACCCCCCTTCCCCCCCCCCCCCCCGCCCGCGCCGTCGCCATCTTGCCGTTTGTGTGTGTGTGTTTTACCCCCGCCGCTGCTGTCGTTGGCGCCGGGCGTTGTTTTGGCAGCATCTTGCAGGCGCTGTACTTCGTACCGGAGGTCCGCGAGGCGGCCTTGAGAGAGCAGGTACGCGCACCGGCGAGATGCGGTCCACGCCCGCGGGCCTACAGCGGTGTGTAGTGTGGTGCGCATCGGAAAAAAACTGCTCACGGTATTCTGCACCAGGATAAGGTTTTTGTGGTCTCGATCGAACGTTTTTTGCTTGTTTTTTGTGCTCTGGTCGTCTCCAAATACACGGCATCAGAGATCACACCGGCACCCGCAAGTCTCCACGGCCTTCCGCACGCAATGTCCAGCTGCATTGTTGTTATTGTTGTTTCACAACCCACACTGGAACGTACAACGCTAAAACGTACCAGGCCGCTGCGTTGTTGCTATTGTTGTTTCGCAACCCACCCTACAGTGTCACGCCAAAACGAACAAGTACCAAGTAGCCCCGCTGTATTGTTCCTTGTTAATTGTTTTACGACCCACACTGGAACGTACCAGGTACACGAAAAGATCAAAACAATTATCGGGCGAAGAAATAATCCATGTCCTGTAACATGAAAATTTCCTAGGCCAACAGAATATACAACTTGTCCTGTCCTACCCCCGCTGCAGTACAACCCGTTGCACTACTCGCCCATGTCCGGGAGGGCCACCTCCGGCCTCTCCTGCGAGCTTGGGTTCCTGTTCCACCAGCTGGCGGGGGCCAAGGACATGGAAGCCAAGCACCGGAGCTGCCAGGCCACCAACTTCCTCAGAGCCTTCAAGGAAGTCCCCGAGGTGATCATTCGTCGTTCCATGTCTCAAGTCTATATGTAGTCAGCTGCTTTCCTCAGAGCCAACCCGCAAGGACGTCACCAAGTGATCGTCGTTGATTGTAGCAAGCTTTCCTCGAATCCTCCAAGCAAGTCCCTGAGGTAAGAGACCATGGTTTCATGTCTTGAGTCTGTAGCCAACTGCTTTCCTCAAGAGCCAACCTGCAAGGGCGTCACCAAGTGATCGTCGGTGATTGTAGCCAGCTTTTCTCGGAGCCAGTCTTCTAGGAAGTTACCGAGGTGAGAGATAGTCATCGTGTTGTTGCCCGTCAGTCTGCGGTGATCATCGTTGTTTGCAGTCAGTTTGCTCAGTCAGAGCCTTCAAGGAAGTCCCCCAGGTGAGGGATGATCATCGTGTTGTTGCCGCCAGTCTGCGGTTATCATCGGTATTTGCAGTCAGCTTGCTCAGTCAGAGTCTTCAAGGAACTTCCCCGAGGTAAGATTTTGGTCATCGTGTTCTTTGTGACCAGCCTGTGGTCAGACTCAGCTGCTTTCCTCAGAGCTATCGAGGGGGTCCCACGATGAACGTCGTCGTTGTCTTGTAGTCAGCTTCCTCGGCGCCTTCAGAGCGAAAGTTCCCGAGGTGATCAATCATCGTGTTTCTTATTGTCAGCCTGTTGTCGACTGTTTTGTCAGGGCCAGCCTTTCAAGCAAGTCCCCGACGTGAGCTGTAATAGTGTTGTTTTATAGCCCCCCCCCCCCCCCACACGCCCCTCGATAAATACATTATGTGACACCCCAAATACTAGGTCCTGGCGCTGGGGTTGCTGGAAGACCCCCAGAGCAAGCGCGCGATCGGCCTGCCCAGGAGGGTCGAGGCCCTCCACCGCTTCCTCCTCAGCCAGCTGGACAAGGAGGCGAAGGAACCGGCCCTGCCCCCGGCCCCCTCCCAGCCCACGCCTTCGTCGCAGCCTTCGAAGGTAGGAGCGGGCTGCTGAATGCTCCCGTGTCGCAGGGTTGTAAATGTAAGATTGTTTTGGTTTGTTTCCCTCCGCTCACTGTGAAGACTTGAGCACATCCCTTTCGACTGGGGTTATATCTCGAACTGGTAGTCTTTCTGTGAGATTGTGTTTCTTTTCTAGAGAGTAATAAGCAAATGTAACCCTTTGTCTGGTCCGGTCTGAGTGTCACCGTGTTGACGGTGCTGGGTGTGAAAAGCTAGTTTCCCTCCACTAACTGCTGTAAAGACTTCCGCACATCCCATTCGACTGTCTGTGGTTATATCTCGAACGGGTACATAAATAGTCTTTCTGTGAGATCATCTTTACTTCGTAATTTTTTTTGGTTTTGTTAAGGTTTGGCTGGGCTCTTGGAGTCGAAACACGTCGGGCGTTGAGCTTGGGGGAGTGTCACAACTGGTAGTAGCTGGCAGCCAGCTGTGGGCTGGTCCCTGGTTTTGTTTTCATCTTGCGTCACCCCTCTGACGACACTGCTGGGCTCTCCTCACAGGCCCACTCCCGAGGGATCACTTGGCATATGTGTATGGTGTTGTCGGATGTTGAGAGCGTTTTGTGAGAAAAATCTAGACGGAGTTACAACGTACGAGTTGAAGGAGAGGAAAGGCCCCAAACCCCGCTTTTTGGCTTTTTTTGAACAGAGACGCAAGGAGTTTGTTTCCCCACAGAGGGTAAAAACAACAACTTTTTTTTCGTGTTTTTTTTTATTTGAGGTACCACTATTCCCAACCGCCGAACCGGCGCCGACGCGGCCTTCGAAGCTGTGATGTGATGTGCTACCTTTCCCCCCGAATACTCTACAGCAGTACTGTGTTAGGGTCCTCCTCACTGGGAAAAGAATTCAACACCAACGTGTGGTGTACTATGTTTTGTCGCCACCACCTCTGTATTTATTTTTTTATTTCTGATTTTCGGGGGCGCCACGTCGAAAAATTTGTTATGGATGATTTTGAGGAATAGGCCTATTTAGTGTGAAGATCGACCTAGGGTGTTTTTGTTGGAACACTGGATCGACACGCGTTTTTTTCCTCTCTCGAGTCTGCAAGGTACTCCTGAGTTTTTTGTTTTGTTTGTTTGTTTGCGCGCCGCGGTCACACGCAATCCGAGCAACAAAACGCGGTCATGAGTTTTCTGTCACCCGCTCGCTCGCCGCAACCCCACGACAGGCGGGGGGGGCAGCGGCAAGCGGGTCTAAAAAGAAAGAGCCCAAGTCGAAGAAGGCCAAAGCGGCAGCCGCAGCGGCGGCAGCGGCGGCGGCTCTAGAGGCGGCTAAGGCCGAGAAGGAAGCGGCGGCGGCGGCGGCGAAGAAGAGAAAAGCGGAGAAGGACGCGGGGGGCAGCGGCGGCGGCGGCGGCGGGAAGAGGTCGGGTTCGACGGTGGACCGGCTGTACGGGTACGGCACCCGCACGTCGAACGCGTTTCTCCACGACAAGAGGACCACCATCGACGTCAAGCACACCAGGTCTGCTTTGTGAAGTAATGTCTCTATTTCTCTTTCTTTCTCTGCCTGCCTGCCTGCCTGCCTGTCTGCCTGCCTGCCTGCCTGTCTGTCTGTCTGTCAGTCTCTCCGCCCATCCCTCCGTCTGTCTGTCTGTGTCTGTCTATCTGTCTGTCTCTCTGTTTTTCCCTCTCTCTCCCTCTCCCTCTGTGCCTCTCTCTCCGTCTCTTGTGTTTGTTTTTTTGTGTTACCTTGAATCGGCTGCCACACTCCCTCCCTCTCCTCCCCGAATATTTGTAATCGGATTTTTTTTATCTCTCTTTCGGTTGTATTGTCTCCAATTCCTCACTTTTTGTCCTTCTCTCTTCAAAAGTTTCAACTTTCTCCCGTATGTCTTCGCTCGCTTTCGTTTTTTTTTTTTTTTCTCTCCAATTCCTCACTTGTGGTCTTCCTCCCTTCAAAAGTTTCAAACCTTAACCTTCTCCCATACATGTGTCTTCGCTTTCGTTTTTTTTTTTTTTGCAGAACTCTCGTGACGGAGATGATCCCCGTGGACCACCCGGGACACCCGGCCCCCGCCAAGTACTTCGCCGACGTCCTCGCGAGGAGCCTCTGCAGGGAGACCAGGGCTCGGGCGTGGTGCGAGGAGACGAGCGCGTACGCGCCCATCAAGCAGAAGAGGTGTCCGGTCTCTCTTCCGGGTGAGAGGGGGAGGGGAGGGGGGGGGGCTGCATGCGATAGGTGAACCGTCGTGGACGAGCGCACTGCCCACCACGCTCTCGCCCCTAGGGCGTGGGGACCGCGGGTCCCATCCCGAACCTTGTTCCCCTCTAAAGAACGT